TTCTCTTTGACTTATCGTGCTTCTTCACGTCTGCATACATAGTTCTTTTTGACTTTGTTACCATGTCAGTCTGTTTCCTTCATCTGCACTACTCTGCTGTGTTCTCATGTAAATGTCCCCGTTGCAGCACAGATAAAGGGATTCTGATTCTAGTTTAAATCACTTAGTCTCAACCTTAACTTAACTTAGTCTTAACTTAGTCTTAACAGTAACTTAACTTAGTCTTAACCTTAACTTAACTTAGTCTTAACCTTAACTGAACTTGGTCTTAACAGTTACTAAACTTAACCTTAACTTAGGGATTCTGATTCTAGTTTAAATAACTTAGTCTTAACCTTAACTTAGTCTTAACAGTAACTTAACTTAGTCTTAACCTTAACTTAACTTAGTCTTAACCTTAACTTAACTTAGTCTTAACTTAGTCTTAACCTTAACTTAGTCTTAACAGTAACTTAACTTAGTCTTAACCTTAACTTAACTTAGTCTTAACCTTAACTTAACTTAGTCTTAACCTTAACTTAACTTAGTCTTAACTTAGTCTTAATAGTAACTTCACTTAGTCTTAACCTTAACTTAACTTAGTCTTAACCTTAACTTAACTTAGTCTTAACTTAGTCTTAACCTTAACTTAGTCTTATCAGTAACTTAACTTAGTCTTAACCTTAACTGAACTTGGTCTTAACAGTTACTAAACTTAACCTTAACTTAGGGATTCTGATTCTAGTTTAAATAACTTAGTCTTAACCTTAACTTAACTTAGTCTTAACAGTAACTTAACTTAGTCTTAACCTTAACTTAACTTAGTCTTAACCTTAACTGAACTTGGTCTTAAGAGTTACTAAACTTAACCTTAACTTAGGGATTCTGATTCTAGTTTAAATAACTTAGTCTTAACCTTAACTTAACTTAGTCTTAACAGTAACTTCACTTAGTCTTAACCTTAACTGAACTTGGTCTTAACAGTTACTAAACTTAACCTTAACTTAGGGATTCTGATTCTAGTTTAAATAACTTAGTCTTAACCTTAACTTAACTTAGTCTTAACAGTAACTTAACTTAGTCTTAACCTTAACTTAACTTAGTCTTAACCTTAACTGAACTTGGTCTTAAGAGTTACTAAACTTAACCTTAACTTAGGGATTCTGATTCTAGTTTAAATAACTTAGTCTTAACCTTAACTTAACTTAGTCTTAACAGTAACTTCACTTAGTCTTAACCTTAACTGAACTTGGTCTTAACAGTTACTAAACTTAACCTTAACTTAGGGATTCTGATTCTAGTTTAAATAACTTAGTCTTAACCTTAACTTAACTTAGTCTTAACAGTAACTTAACTTAGTCTTAACCTTAACTTAACTTAGTCTTAACCTTAACTGAACTTGGTCTTAACAGTTACTAAACTTAACCTTAACTTGGGATTCTGATTCTAGTTTAAATAACTTAGTCTTAACCTTAACTTAACTTAGTCTTAACAGTAACTTAACTTAGTCTTAACCTTAACTTAACTTAGTCTTAACCTTAACTGAACTTGGTCTTAAGAGTTACTAAACTTAACCTTAACTTAGGGATTCTGATTCTAGTTTAAATAACTTAGTCTTAACCTTAACTTAACTTAGTCTTAACAGTAACTTCACTTAGTCTTAACCTTAACTGAACTTGGTCTTAACAGTTACTAAACTTAACCTTAACTTAGGGATTCTGATTCTAGTTTAAATAACTTAGTCTTAACCTTAACTTAACTTAGTCTTAACAGTAACTTAACTTAGTCTTAACCTTAACTTAACTTAGTCTTAACCTTAACTGAACTTGGTCTTAAGAGTTACTAAACTTAACCTTAACTTAGGGATTCTGATTCTAGTTTAAATAACTTAGTCTTAACCTTAACTTAACTTAGTCTTAACAGTAACTTCACTTAGTCTTAACCTTAACTGAACTTGGTCTTAACAGTTACTAAACTTAACCTTAACTTAGGGATTCTGATTCTAGTTTAAATAACTTAGTCTTAACCTTAACTTAACTTAGTCTTAACAGTAACTTAACTTAGTCTTAACCTTAACTTAACTTAGTCTTAACCTTAACTGAACTTGGTCTTAACAGTTACTAAACTTAACCTTAACTTGGGATTCTGATTCTAGTTTAAATAACTTAGTCTTAACCTTAACTTAACTTAGTCTTAACAGTAACTTAACTTAGTCTTAACCTTAACTTAACTTAGTCTTAACCTTAACTGAACTTGGTCTTAAGAGTTACTAAACTTAACCTTAACTTAGGGATTCTGATTCTAGTTTAAATAACTTAGTCTTAACCTTAACTTAACTTAGTCTTAACAGTAACTTAACTTAGTCTTAACCTTAACTGAACTTGGTCTTAAGAGTTACTAAACTTAACCTTAACTTAGGGATTCTGATTCTAGTTTAAATAACTTAGTCTTAACCTTAACTTAACTTGGTCTTAACAGTTACTAAACTTAACCTTAACTTAGGGATTCTGATTTTGATTCTGATATGTAGAATGGCTCTTTATTACAGTATTATACAATTATAGAATAATATATTATCTTATTTCTATCACTAAGAGGTCAAAAGGAGCATTTTAACGATGTCGTTTGTCAATGAGGAGAGCATGTTATATCAGTGCTGCATCATATCATATATCATGTGTTTTAATATGTAAACACGTATAAAAAGCATCATATTTGCCTCTGAATTTGCTCCGTATTGTTCTTTCTGTGTCTCTGTATGCACCACATTTACAAAAGCCAATTCCTCTTATGCTACTCAGTAGTATGTATCTAATACCTAATATATATATATCATTCCAATAACTTGTATATAGACTCATACTGCACTATTCCACATCATAACTTTATTTCATTTTTATAACTATTATTATTTTTGTATTGCTCTTGCTCTTATTGTTATTATGTTATGTTATTATGTTGCATTGTTGGAGAAGCCTGTGACATAAGATTTTCAACTGCATAATTACTCTGTAGCTATGTCAGATTGACAATAAAGAACCTTGAACCTTGAACCTTGAACCTTGTGTGAACCGACAGGTAATAAAGCCAGTTCTGATTCTGAAGAGCAGAAGAACTTCATCCTTTGAACCTAACATGAGTTTCCTTCAATGACCATGTTTATTTGATTAGAAAGAAAACACACTGTCTCTGATTTTGTGAAATAATTCAACTGCAAAAAAAGTCAAATAAAATGCAACCAGGGAGGAGAAGCTGAGGTGTTGGCGCCCCCTGGTGGTCAATCACCGGAACTGGACATATAAAGTTAGACATGAAAAATACTTTAAAAAGTGAAATAGAGAAAATAACAATTACAAACAAAATGAAAAATATTATATCAAATACAAGCAATACAAAATATTATGTAGAAACATTTCCGAATAAATTACATATAGAGAGCGAGAGAGACAGTTAATAACAGATATATATATCGTTTAATATCATTTAATATAATATCTTCAGGGTAAACAATGTGTGTCTACCCACAGGAACTCCAACCTGCAGGTAGAGACACACAACATCGTTTAATATAATCTAATATCAAATTAAACTGGTGAACAGCGAGGTGTTTTGTAGAGTATGTGTGTGTGTGTGTGTGTGTGTGTGTGTGTGTGTGTGTGTGTGTGTGTGTGTGTGTGTGTGTGTGTGTGTGTGTGTGTGTGTGTGTGTGTGTGTGTGTGTCAGGATGAGTAACACAATAAGAAACCTTTGTACAGTTTGATTATCTGTGAATGATATTGATCTAAACTGTGTTTTATCAGTTCAATGTATTGTTTCTTGTTGTTGTGTTAAGGAAAGTGCTAAATACATTTGAGTTTATTATAAATACTTGTACTATTGTTACAAGAAGACAAGGCACAAAGAAAGACTAACAGCTCAAACCTGAATATAATGGCTTCATGTGATTTATGGCTCATCTCTACTTTATGGCCAAATCAACTTTTGTTATTAATTTAAGCTGTTTTTATTGGTCGGATTCAGTCAGCTCAGGGATAACAACTGAAAGATGGCATTTAGATGAAAATACTTATACTTATATACTTAACCCTTAGATGCCCGAGTGACTGGACCCTACACTAAGTCGGTCAAAAAGGACCCGTATTAGAATAATATGTGTTTTTATGCCATTTCTGTCATTTTGGTTAAGAAAAATCACTTGTATAATATTTAGTATTATATTTTGGTTCATGCTAGAAATATTTAATATTTCACTATTTATAATTGTAGAATTTTTTTTTACATTTTGAAAAAAACGTTTTGAACATATCCAGTCCCTTTTCAAAACTCATCTCTTCTCCTCTTGTCTACTCATAGCCCACCCCCCATCAATCCATGCCGGTTGATCAAGTTTGATAGTCCTATACCCCCCACCCTAACCTTCCCTTATATTGTAAAGCGATTTTGAGTCCTTGTAAAGCCCTATACAAATATAATGTATTATTATTATTATTATACTGACAGGTATCAGATCTTGCTGTGTAAAGTAATCTTCCTGAGAGGTGTCACTTGTGATGTAGTCTGTGTGGTCTACAGTGAATGTATTCCTGACAGCAGGTGATAAGAATCAAAGGTTCCCAAAGGATCCCATAGGAAATGCATTTGGGTCTTTTTTGACCCACTTATGGAAGCTTGGGGTAGAAATACAAAAACTACAATTTCTTAAAATGTAAATTAAAAATGTGAATGGCATGAAATCTAAAACGTGTTTTTTGAGGAATAGCTGGAATATGAAATGATAAAAAAATGTAATTACAAAGATACTTCAAGAAAACCACCTCACCGGGTCAAAAAAGACCCACTTGTGCATCTAAGGGTTAATAAATCTACTAAATCATTACATTATAAGGAGTAAACATGGTTGGTGATTTTGTGAAATGATGATGCTCGCTCTCGACAGCAGGTGGCGGTAAATGCACCTTTAAGTAGTTTGCGACCCGCTAATAAGAAGAAGAAGATTTCCCGGCTTCTGATTGGTCCGTCCGTCGCTGTTTGGACATGTGACACCAGAGATGGCAGCCTGTACCCGAAACAGAGATGGTGAGTTGGTTTCTTTTAAAAGTTGCAGTTGATTTAAAAATAGGTTTAGTGCTGTAAATAATATAATCAGCTGGAGATGAAACTCAGAGTCAGTCAGGGATTATGTTCATCTGAAGAATGTTCCTGTCTGCAGTTTGTAATGAAGCTAAACAGCCGAGAGCTAGCCGGCTGTGCTAACATGCTAACTGTTAGCCTGTGTTTTTTAACGGTTATAAAAACATAGTTACAAAGTGCTTTTACATATAAAATACACAGAGAGAAAGTGAATTAAACAGCATCTAAACATAGGAACACAGAGTAAAAAACATAGAACATAATGAAACAGAAATACATAGATTCATATTCTGAAAGTAGTAGTAGTAGTAGTAGTAGTAGTAGTAATAGTAGTAGTAGTAGTAGTAATTTAACCTAGTCTCAATTTAGTCTCAACTTAATCTTAACTTAGTCTTAAAGGAGAGGTGTCATGGCCATTTCCACTGATCATAATTCCATTGTTGAGGTCTACTAAAATAGATTTATACTGTGCATCTCTCCAAACTCACATTGGTTTCTCAAACAGCATCTCTGTAAACTACTTGTATTCACTGAATTTCACTATCTGCCTTTAACGGCTCGTTGTAGCTCCAATAGCTCCAGCCCCCACCCTCCCTGTGAGCACAGTGTGCTCTGATTGGTCGGGACGTTGTGAATCGCGCTGAGCTCCGTGGAGGTGTTGCTTCCTTGTTTAGGATACATAGCGAAACACAGCCAAACTCATCCTGAGCACACACAAAGTCACAGCCGAAGTAAAAACAATAAGTGTGGCTTGATATTGAGTAAGAAAAAGGTTGATAAACGCTGAATGGTCTGCAGAGAGATGGGTCTGCAGAGAGAATGGGTCTGCAGAGAGAATGGGTCTGCAGAGAGAATGGGTCTGCAGAGAGAATGGGTCTGCAGAGAGAATTTTGCCGCGATCCCAACTGTCTGTTATCAGCCTGCAGCCAGGGAGGAGAACTCAGCTGAGCTGCCTGCTCCCTGCACACAGATGTGTGTGTGAGGAAGTCCGTGGATCGGTCAATTTGGACCAATCAGCGGGGGCTTAACGTAACGGCTCCGCGGACGTAACGTAACGGCTCTTCGGGATTGGTCCATTTCGTTCCGGGTACCGCTTGACATCATGCCGTACCCGGAACGAAATGGAAGACTCAAATGGGCAATGACGTATCTCCAACGAGGCGTTTTGGGGAGGTCTTTTCTGTGTTAGAGTTTTACTCGCTACAGGGTGTACTTTAAGGGTTTTGACTCTGCACTAGGGATGGGTATCGTTAAGGTTTTAACGGTACTACTACTTTTATCGATACCGCTTATCGGTCCGGTCTTTTAACGGTACTCTTATCGGTTCTTTTGGAGAGAAAAATTAGGTAAACTAACTATATGTTGTATGTCAGGGACTACGGATGGAAATTAGCTCAAAGCTAAAATCCGGCATATTTACACTTGAAGCATTATTTGTCTAAAGCAGGGGTGGGCATTTTACGGCCCGCGGGCCACATCCGGCCCGTTGGCCGGCCTTGGCCGGCCCGTGTGAGGTTGATCATAAATTATAACATAATGAAAAAAAACAGCAACCTTTTCAAAATAAAAGCAACACAGCTGTATTGCTTGCATGGCGTAAATACTTTTCTAACTGTGTTGCTTTTATTTTGAAAAGGAAGCTGCTGTTTTTTTTATTTATTTACGTAAACGCGCATGCCGTAACAGCTACGAGTGATGCTGGCCGGCTAGTCCTCGAAATGTCCGCTAAGGGCAAAAAAAGAAAGATCGATACTGAATGCCGCGTTTTCAACAAGACATGGACCGCTAAGTATTTATTTACAGAAGTGAAAGGTAAAGCTGTGTGTTTAGTTTGTGGTGCGCAGGTCGCTGTGTTCAAGGAGTACAATTTGAGTCGCCACTATGCTACCAAACACGCAGATAAATACAAGAACCTGTCTGAGGAAGAGCGGGCAAAAGGGGTCGGATGCTTTGCTAGCTAAGCTGCAAAGCCAACAACACATTTTCACAAAACATTCCACATCCAGAGATGCAGCTGTCAAGACGAGTTATGTCTTAAAAGTTAACCGTTTTCGGACGGAGAGTTCATTAAGGAGTGTTTGTTGGACACTAATATGCCTGGAGAAAAAGGAGGCATTTGAGAAAGTGCCGCTCTCCCGACGCACTGTTACGAGGAGAATTGAGGACATCGCGGGAAATCTGGAGCTTCAGCTGCAGAACAGAGCGGTCAACTTTGACTTTTTTTCCTTGTCTTTGGATGAGAGCTGCGATGTACGTGACACTGCCCAGCTACTCATCTTCCTACGTGGGATAACTACAGACTTCAAAATCACGGAGGAGCTGGCAGCCATGCAGTCAATGAAAGGTACATCAACAGGGAGTGATTTGTTCACGGAGGTAAATGCATGTGTGGAAAAGTTGGGACTGAAATGGGACAAGCTGGCAGGCGTGACAACGGATGGTTGTCCAAATCTGACAGGGAAAAATGTTGGACTATTGAAGAGAATGCAGGATAAAGTGACAGAAATTAACCCTGAGCAGAAATAGGTATTTTTGCATTGTATTATACATCAGGAAGTGTTGTGTAAGTCAGTGTTAAAAATTAACCATGTTGTTGATGTTGTAACTAAAATAGTTAACTTCATCAGGGCAAGAGCATTGAATCACAGACAGTTTGTTGCACTTTTGGAGGAAAGTGAGACTGAACATCGTGACATACCCTACCATGCAGCTGTCAGGTGGCTCAGCCTGGGCAAAGTGCTGAAAAGAGTATGGGACCTGAGAGAAGAGATTCAAGACTTCTGTGTGAAGAAAGGAAACGACATCCCACAGCTTTCAGATGCAGACTGGAAGGCAGACCTTGGTTTTGCTGTAGATGTGACTGCACTAATGAGTGAACTAAATGTCTGCAAGGCAAGGGCCTTTTTGTGCATGACATGTACAGTGCAGTGAAGGCTTTCATGAGAAAGCTGCAGCTTCTCTCAAGCCAAATGGAGGACAACATTCTCACGCACTTGCCAACACTGAAGGAAGCCACACCATCAGCTGATCACCTCCAGAGGTACTCATCCATGTTAGAAGCACTGCATGGTGAGTTTTCAAGGCGATTTAAAGACTTCAAAACAGTTGAGAATGAAATGAACATGATCTTTTCCCCATTTACATGCCATGTGGATGATGCACCCAGTGATGTTCAGCTTGAACTCATTGACCTGCAGTCTGACACACTTCTGTCAGAGCACTTTAGGTCAGTCTCACTGCCTGAGTTTTACTCTTCCCTGAAAGAGGAGAACTTTCCACACATCAGGAGACGTGCTCAGAAGATGATGGTCCTCTTTGGATCTACCTACATATGTGAACAGACATTCTCAGTGATGAAGTTCAACAAATCCAGATACAGATCCTCTATCACTGATGATCACCTCTCAGCTGTCCTTCGCATATCCACCTCAGACATTGAACCAGATTTCCGTGCACTTGTTCAAGCCCAAGACAGACTGGATTTTTCTCACTGAACAAGTAAAATTAACTGAAAAACAAAAATCAAAAGCACTCATTTCTTTTTGTATAAAGCTGATTCATTTCTTATCTTTAACATACTGTAAAACACCTTTTCAGTATTGGTATATTGAGCAGAATTAAGTTCAACTTATTTTTGATTCGGCCCCCCAACACAGCTCGAGTTTCTGAAGTGGCCCCTTGTAAAAAATAATTGCCCACCCCTGGTCTAAAGTGTTCATTAATGTGCATTGTCCCTATTCAAATAAACAATTAAATGAAAATAAACAAATTGTGAACAAAACTAACATTGCTTTTTATTTAAATGAAATACATAATATTTCACATCAACAGAAACAACAACGTTTTAACAAATCATATTAAATAATCTGATGACAGAACTGTGAACAGAATAGCTGAAACTTTAACAAACTAAATAACTCAGTTCCCTCTAATCATTAACCCATGTTTGAATCATTGAGTTAGCTCCGTGTGTTGCTGCTAGCATACATAATATACCTGACGTGGAAACGTTACTCGTGGATGGGGCTACAGAGCTACTAGAGAGACAGTCGAACCCGGAGCATTTCTCCGTCTGAACGTGGTGCACTTTTGCAAGATGTTTAGACAAATTGCTCGTGTTACCGCCCTGACATGCTAAACTCTTATTGCACTTTAGGCGAGACGGGTAAAGTTTAACCACACCTCGGAGCGCGTTCTCTCCGCCATCTCCTCCGTGTGTGTGTGTTGCTGCATGTAGCAGCTGCGTGTGTGTAAACTGCCCCGCCCCCTCGCACACAGGCGGGGGAGAGAGATCTCTCGTCTGGATTGGAGAGATCGAAAATACAAAAAATGACGCATTTTGCAGTCTTTTTGCGTATTAGAAACGGAGTTGGCGACACTAAAACTGCAATATAATGTTTGTATAGCAATAATACACATGACATATTTTTTAGATGTCTCCAGTACCGATAAAAAGACCGATAACGTCGGAGCTTAACGGTACCACGGTCTTTAATAATTCAGCCCCGGGGCCCGTTTAATACCGGGGCTCGGTACCCATCCCTACTCTGCACACCGTTTACATGCATACAAACCTTCATAACACACAAGGGGACGGGTAATAACCGGAAAAGCATGACACCTCTCCTTTAAAGGTCACATGTCATGGCCATTTCTACTGATCATAATTCCATTGTTGAGGTATACTAAAATACATTTATATTGTGCAATTTTCCAAACTCACATTGGTTTCTCATACAGCATCTCTGTATAGTATGTGTATTCACTCTCTGTCCTAAACGGCTTGTTTGAGCTCCTGCCGCGAAACCCAGCCCGAAACACACACACACCCGCAGCCTGGCTGGGAGTTTGTGTGTGTGCTCAGGCTGAGTTCCGCGGTGTCTCGCTGTCTCGCCGACCCCACACCAGCTCACAGTGTCCCGCTCCTCGTAGCAGCGAGTGTGTGTGTGTGTGTGTGTGTGTGTGTGTGTGTGTGTGTGTGTGAGCAAGTCCGCGGATTGGTCCAAACGTAAGGGCTCCGCCGACGTTACGTTACGTCACTATACCCGAAATACGTCACTATACCCAAGAAGTAAACAATGGAAAAAGAGAAATGTCCAACGAGGCGTTCTGGGGCAGCATAGACAGGTCTTCTCTGTGTTAGAGTTTTACTCGCTACAGGGTGCACTTTGAGGGTTTGTGACTCTGCAGACTATGCAGAAAAAGCTCCATAACACACAAGGGGTAATAACCAGAAAAGCATGACATGGGACCTTTAACTTGGTCTTAACTAAGTACTTAACAGTAATTTCACTTAGTCTTAACTGTGACTTAACTTAGTCTTCAGTACTGTAGTAAAGAGCAGTTCAGACTAAGAGGAACACTGTTTTTTTAATTCTGTATTCTGCACTGCGTCTTAAAATATAAATGAAATAACAGTTTTGAATGTTGTGATTTGCCACTAACATAATGTAACCCTCAGGTGACGACAGCATCCTGGAGCCTCTGAGTTTCCCGGAGCAGCCGCCTGATGCTCCCGGTGTCCCCGGTGAGGAGCTGCTGGTCTGTCTCTTCTGTCCCGACTCAGAGAGACAGAAAGACGTCCTCCTCAAACACCTGCTGCTGGAGCACAAGCTGGTCATCGCAGACGTCAAACTCATCGCTGACCTCCCAAAGTACGAGCTGCAGCTGGAGATCAAACTCAGGGATAGAATAGAACATATCTTTATTGTCATCATACAAAGTACAACGACATTTCTTTGGCAACTCTCACTGCAGTAACAAATAGACACAAATAAATGAATCAGAGGTGAAAGCAGAGGTCGTAGCGATGACAGCGCAACGAGATAACACTCAATGTCAATGTGCATATTTACTCAGTCTAAATACATGAAATGTACAGAAGTGTATGAATGTAGTGTGTTTCTAACTGTGTGTTTCTAAAGGCTGATAGGAACCAAAGGATGCAGTAGAATAGCCCTAAATATTTGTAAATAGTGGCTGCAGTCTAAGAAGAAGTGGCAGGTATTTGAAAACAAAACATGTACACTTGTATTCTTTTCCTTTTATAGCGCATGGTGGAAAGGAGCAGGGAGAAGAAACTCTTATTTGACCTGCCTCTTCAAAACCAAAACAAAATGAACTAACCATTCAAAAGTCAAATCAAAGCAATATTCTTTCAGTCACAGCTGCTTACAAATACTGACCCATAAAGCCAGAACAGAATCAACTCCATCCTGTCTCATGATTGATCTCCATTAGATGGCAGCACTTCATATTCTCTGTCAGAGCATGCTTTGGGTCCCAGAGGATGCTGTTGGAGCCTCTCAGGTTATTATGGTCTGCTGAGTCACAAAGGCTCTGACAGGATTTTGATTTGGACAAACACTTGTACCAGGTAGTGTTGCAGTACTCTAGAACAGACACAATCACAGAGGTAAAGAACAACAGAAGAATTTCTCTGCTCGCCCAGAAAGACCTCAGACGGCGGAGAAAATACATTCTTTGTTTTGTCCAGATGTTCAATGTGGTCCTTCCAAGTTGAGGTGTGTGTTCTTCTCTCCTGTGTGATGGACGCTGATCCTGATTCCTCCTCCCCCCCCCCTCTCAGGTACTTGGTGTTCTGGAGAGGACGGTTCCTGGAACAGCCCATCACAGATTTCTGCAGCGTCATCAAAACTAACTCCACCGGCCCCATAGGTGAGGTCACTTTCTAAGATACGATAAAATAAGATTAGATCATATCAAATGGACCTTTTATTAATCTCCGTGGGGAAGTTCAGTTTAACAGCAACAGGGTGAGAAAGAAAAGCAGCACAGATTCACACAAGATTACAGATTAATACAATTAAAGAAAAAATGATATCCAGTAACTTTTAAAATGAGAAATGAATTAAATGAACATGTTTGAGTCATATATACATGTTAGATATATTTACATGTATGTGTCAGTTCTTCTGAAGACACGGACAGACATTTAGAAACACATTGAGAAAAAGTCATAATTTTGTGTTTTTTGAGAAAAAGTCATAATTGTGGTTTTTGAGAAAAAGTCATAATTTTGTGTTTTTTGAGAAAAAGTCATAATTTTGTGTTTTTTGAGAAAAAGTCATAATTTTGTGGTTTTTGAGAAAAAGTCATAATCTTGTGGTTTTTGAGAAAAAGTCATAATTTTGTGTTTTTTGAGAAAAAGTCATAATTTTGTGGTTTTTGAGAAAAAGTCATAATTTTGTGGTTTTTGAGAAAAAGTCATAATTTTGTGTTTTTTGAGAAAAAGTCATAATTTTGTGTTTTTTGAGAAAAAGTCATAATTTTGTGGTTTTTGAGAAAAAGTCATAATCTTGTGGTTTTTGAGAAAAAGTCATCATTTTTTGGGTTTTGAGAAAAAGTCATTCCTTCTTCGAGTCCGTAGCAATCTCAAATGTTGTTCTGCCAGTATCGGGCACAGGCCACAGCTGATGGGGTAGGTTCTGCCAGGTCTTCTGGACTGCACTGGGGGGCATCGGCACATTCCAGTAAGTGGGACATTGTCTGCACTGATCCACAGCTGCACGTGTCTTCTGTGGTGTAGTTCCACACTTTCATCAGTGCTTTACACCTCCCCTGTTCCACAGGAAAAAGTCATAATTTTGTGGTTTTTGAGAAAAAGTCATAATTTTGTGTTTTTTGAGAAAAAGTCATAATTTTGTGTTTTTTGAGGAAAAAGTCATAATTTTGTGTTTTTTGAGAAAAAGTCATAATTTTGTGGTTTTTGAGAAAAAGTAAGATTTTTTACACTTTTGAGAAAAATACCAACAAATTCTCTTTTTTTCTTTTGACTACTTCCATTCTTGAGAGGATAATAAATACATGGATCCTGATGTTGAAGCTCAAGCTGGGGACGAGTGATATTTTTCTAACACTTGGTATCAAAACCCAGTTGACTTCTTACTTTTAATGAGGTTAAAATGTTAACATAGGTTCAGGAGCATGGCCATGCCTAAAACTCCGCCTCAAACCACGGCCACCCCTATTTATATCCGGCGAAAGCTTCCGGCCACCGCTTGTCTCATCTTTCAAAGATAGACAGGCAGACTGTGATTCACGCTGCGCGTCGTCACAGATCAATACAAACAAACGCTACCACAAGAACATTTCTACTCACCATGGATCCCGAATTCCTGATCAACTCGCCGGAGTCAGATGAAGATCTCTTCGACATCGGCTACCCGCCATCCTCGGGTCAGCAGACGGATCCAAGCCAAGCATCCGAACGGAGCCGCGTGTGCTCGGCAATCAGTGTCCCACACACCAGCCGCCACCGCTCCCACTCAAGCTCCCCCAACGAGATACCTCCAACTCCAGACAGGTCCCAGGCTTCGTCTACTCCGCCAGCGAGGGCAAACAGCCGGGGCCGCAACAGGTGCAGCCAGCTCCAATCTCCCCACCACCGGCAGCCTGCCTCACTCGCAGCTCCCGGCCACTCACAGCGGCGCACTCGACGCTCCACAACAGAGCCCGAACGCACTCGACGCTCCACAACAGAGCCCGAACGCACTCGACGCTCCACAACAGAGCCCGAACTACGGAGGTGGACAGTCATTCAACTCCAACGTTTCCTGAAAGACAACGGCATCCACTTTCACCGAAACGACAACAAGGCTAGACTGTTCAACCTCTACCAAGCCTACAGCAGCACAACGGCAAGAACAACAACACACACAGCTCTTCCCGCCCCAGAATCAACCACCGCGCGCGCGCACCACGGGCCGTGACGTCACAGGCCTCCGTCCTCCACCACGGACACAGCCCGACTCACCAGCACCCCCTGGCGGGGGCCAGGTTGTATTGCCCTCTGTGCCTGCTCTCTCTGTGCCTGACATGTCTCAGCTCATTTCAACCTTTCTCTCATCACTGTGCCCACAGGCTTCACAAAATCCCCTCGCACATACATCCCTTCATCCCTCCATCCCTTCTTCTTCTCTACCTTCAGCAGTCCACAGCTACCCAGCTTCTGCTTACCTTCTTCCTCTAGCAGCTAACCCCGTAGCAACAGCGTCCCACCCAGTATACCAAGGGGCAGGGGCCATGCCACATGCTAACCTAGTACCTTCCTTTCCAACTGCTCTATCTTTTCCCCCTCCCCCTCCCCCTCCCCCCCTCCCTACCCCATCCCTTCCCCAACACCCAAATGTTTTTCCTCCCTGTGCAACCAGCTACACTCTAGCCACAGCAACACCACCCATCCAGCCCACCGTTTTCAGCCACCACATTCAACTGAGACTTCTCAGGACGACTAGAGATCTCCACATAGTCCAGAACAGACCTGAATCCAGTAGACCTCTCAGGATGACTAGAGATCTCCACATAGTCCAGAACAGACCTGAATCCAGTAGACTTCTCAGGATGACTAGAGATCTCCACATAGTCCAGAACAGACCTGAATCCAGTAGACTTCTCAGGATGACTAGAGATCTCCACATAGTCCAGAACAGACCTGAATCCAGTAGACCTCTCAGGATGACTAGAGATCTCCACATAGTCCAGAACAGACCTGAATCCAGTAGACTTCTCAGGATGACTAGAGATCTCCACATAGTCCAGAACAGACCTGAATCCAGTAGACTTCTCAGGATGACTAGAGATCTCCACATAGTCCAGAACAGACCTGAATCCAGTAGACCTCTCAGGATGACTAGAGATCTCCACATAGTCCAGAACAGACCTGAATCCAGTAGACTTCTCAGGATGACTAGAGATCTCCACATAGTCCAGAACAGACCTGAATCCAGTAGACTTCTCAGGATGACTAGAGATCTCCACATAGTCCAGAACAGACCTGAATCCAGTAGACTTCTCAGGATGACTAGAGATCTCCTCATAGTCCAGAACAGACCTGAATCCAGTAGACTTCTCAGGATGACTAGAGATCTCCTCATAGTCCAGAACAGACCTGAATCCAGTAGACTTCTCAGGATGACTAGAGATCTCCACATAGTCCAGAACAGACCTGAATCCAGTAGACTTCTCAGGATGACTAGATATCTCCACATAGTCCAGAACAGACCTGAATCCAGTAGACTTCTCAGGATGACTAGAGATCTCCACATAGTCCAGAACAGACCTGAATCCAGTAGACTTCTCAGGATGACTAGAGATCTCCACATAGTCCAGAACAGACCTGAATCCAGTAGACCTCTCAGGATGACTAGAGATCTCCACATAGTCCAGAACAGACCTGAATCCAGTAGACTTCTCAGGATGACTAGAGATCTCCTCATAGTCCAGAACAGACCTGAATCCAGTAGACTTCTCAGGATGACTAGAGATCTCCACATAGTCCAGAACAGACCTGAATCCAGTAGACTTCTCAGGATGACTAGAGATCTCCACATAGTCCAGAACAGACTAGAGATCTCCACATAGTCCAGAACAGACCTGAATCCAGTAGACTTCTCAGGATGACTAGAGATCTCCTCATAGTCCAGAACAGACCTGAACCCAGTAGACTTCTCAGGATGACTAGAGATCTCCTCATAGTCCAGAACAGACCTGAATCCAGTAGACCTCCCAGGACGACTAGAGATCTCCTCATAGTCCAGAACAGACCTGAACCCAGTAGACTTCTCAGGATGACTAGAGATCTCCTCATAGTCCAGAACAGTTAACAGGCATAGCAAGCCCTCTGACCCTCGCAGTGAGCAGACGCTCCGGTCTCTATCTCTGACCCTCGCAGTGAGCAGACGCTCCGGTCCCTCCCTCTCTGACCCTCGCAGCGAGCAGACGCTCCAGTCTCTCTCTCTCCGACCCTCGCAGCGAGCAGACGCTCCGGTCTCTCTCTCTCCGACCCTCGCAGCGAGCAGACCCATCCTAACATTTACGGCATAAACGTATTTTCCCTTAGAGCGTAACGGAGGCCCGGTTCTGGGCAAACCGCGCGTGCATCATTCTAACTCCTCAAAGGTAATGTTTAGCCGGATTTAGAAGTGAAGATGTAGTCACTCGTTCCGGGCACGTTATCTTCAAGCCACATGTTTCTGGTCCAGAAACACTTTCAGAACATCCCGCACATTTTGGGGGGCACTCTCAGAATTAGAGCCATTTCTCCCGCATCGGCGCAGCGTCCACAGCAGCTAGACCAGGCATCTCTTATCCAACCACCTAGGCCCTCGGCCGCTCGTCATCCAAAGCGTACCACGCTTACTTCCGCAACAATCTAAACGACGTCTGACATGCACACGCTTAAGTCAGCTGCTTTTAATCCGACTCTTTTGGGGGACCGTAATCAGCCCACGCAGTTCATGCCGGAGACGGAACCCCCACTCTGAGTCTCCCACTGCACGGACCATAGCTCGTCCTCCCAGATCACCTCTTCACCCCCCTCATATCCTTCACATGTTACTTCAATAAACGTACAAACATCACACTGTTGTGGCGTGGTTCTTGCTAGTGAAATGAGGTTAAAATGTTAACATAGGTTCAGGAGCATGGCCACGCCTAAAACTCCGCCTCAAACCACGGCCACCCCTATTTATATCCGGCGAAAGCTTCCGGCCACCGCTTGTCTCATCTTTCAACCCACCCTCCCTCACCCTTCTACCCATAAACATCCTCTGCCCATCACCATTTATATCTAATCGGTGCATATCTATATACTGCGTATACTAACATTAAACTCCAGGTATCGTCTGGGGGACCGTAATCAGCCCACGCAGTTCATGCCGGAGACGGAACCCCCACTCTGAGTCTCCCACTGCACGGACCATAGCTCGTCCTCCCAGATCACCTCTTCACCCCCCTCATATCCTTCACATGTTACTTCAATAAACGTACAAACATCACACTGTTGTGGCGTGGTTCTTGCTAGTGAATTCACGTGTAGACCCTGAGTCCCTGAGATGGTCAACACTCTGAACCACTGTTCATGCACCCCTGATCTCCTACGATGTGAAAGCAACATTAGCTTGAAATTGGTAGCAAAAATCACTTAAACATGTTGTTCTCTGCTCAGAAAAACTGACATCTCTGTCATGTCTCATGTGTCGTTGTTACAGAGAAGCAGGAGGACTACTTCCTGCTGTGTGACGTCCTCCCAGAGGATCGAGTCCTCAGAGAGAAGCTGCAGCAGAAACGCCTGGTGAGGAAATGTCCGTCTATCTGGAAGACCTGATCTAAGCCTGAGGTTGGCAGGTCTTCTTCTGTGGTGTTTCTGACGGTGTTTCTCCTGCAGGAGGAGAGGGCAAAAGCACCAACATCCTTTACTCAAGTAGAAGTACAGATACTCGTGTTTAAAAATACTCTGGTGAAAGTAGAAGTACTGACTAAACTTCTTTACTCAAGTAAAAGTAAATGTACTTCAGTAAAAAGTACCCATAACTAGCAGCTGTTTTAAAGAGTACCTGACCTCCCTTTATATTAATAGAACAATAATGTCATTGTTAGCTAATGAATGTTTCCATGCTGAACAACGGCAACATGACAACGTTTTCATTGGTCCCTCTTCTTTAGAGAAGACCAGGAAATGATGGATACACGGATCGTGTTCAAATCAATAGGCACGCAATGACTCTAAATAATAATGATCACGCCACCAAACACACATTCAAACTAAAGGAACCAGCCTGTTTGGGAAATGTAAGAAGTAGAAAGTACAGGTATTTGAGTTCAACATGTAAGAAGTAGAAAGTACAGGTATTTGTGTTCAAAATGTAAGAAGTAGAAAGTACAGGTATTTGAGTTCAACATGTAAGAAGTAGAAAGTACAGGTATTTGTGTTCAAAATGTAAGAAGTAGAAAGTACAGGTATTTGAGTTCAACATGTAAGAAGTAGAAAGTACAGGTATTTGAGTTCAACATGTAAGAAGTAGAAAGTACAGGTATTTGTGTTCAACATGTAAGAAGTAGAAAGTACAGGTATTTGTGTTCAACATGTAAGAAGTAGAAAGTACAGGTATTTGGGTTCAACATGTAAGAAGTAGAAAGTACAGGTATTTGTGTTCAAAATGTAAGAAGTAGAAAGTACAGGTATTTGTGTTCAAAATGTAAGAAGTAGAAAGTACAGGTATTTGGGTTCAACATGTAAGAAGTAGAAAGTACAGGTATTTGGGTTCAACATGTGAGAAGTAGAAAGTACAGGTATTTGGGTTCAACATGTAAGAAGTAGAAAGTACAGGTATTTGTGTTCAAAATGTAAGAAGTAGAAAGTACAGGTATTTGGGTTCAACATGTAAGAAGTAGAAAGTACAGGTATTTGGGTTCAACATGTAAGAAGTAGAAAGTACAGGTATTTGGGTTCAACATGTAAGAAGTAGAAAGTACAGGTATTTGGGTTCAACATGTAAGAAGTAGAAAGTACAGGTATTTGGGTTCAAAATGTAAGAAGTCAAAGTAAAAAGTCCTCAGAAAAATAAGTAGTGGAGTAAAGTACTGATACCAGAAACATGTACTTAAGTACAGTAACAAAGTATTTGTACTCCACTCCTTCCCCCTCTGCCTGCAGGAGGAGGTGTTGGAGCAGCAGCAGCAGGAGAGAGAGGACAGAAGCTTCCAGCGCGTCTGCATGTTCTGCAGCGACGAGTTCTCCGGAAACAGGTACTTGTTGTTATTATTACATCACCTGTCACTCCACGCAATCCCGTTGGTTCCTACTGAAGACGTTATACGATACGATATACTTTAATGTCCCCGTAAGGACATTTGTTCTGGACTCCGTCCTGCAGCATACATGTACATATACAAACATAATAAACATTCAAATACATACACATATGATCACTCGTGCACCGTTTGAACAAACACAGACACACTGACCATGGTGACCTGTTGCACAACCCTCATGGCCAACATTTAAAAGTATATTACATTACATGTATTTACATTCTGTCTTTTCTTATGTGAGTGTTGAGAAGCTTCATGGACATACTGTAGGCAGGAATGATCAACACATGTTGATGTAGAAGAGACATGAAGAAGAGGGGACACATGTTGATGTAGAAGAGACATGAGGAAGAGGGGACACATGTTGATGAAGAAGAGACATGAGGAAGAGGGGACACATGTTGATGTAGAAGAGACATGGAGAAGAGGGGACACATGTTGATGTAGAAGAGACATGAGGAAGAGGGGACACATGTTGATGTAGAAGAGACATGAAGAAGAGGGGACACATGTTGATGTAGAAGAGACATGAGGAAGAGGGGACACATGTTGATGTAGAAGAGACATGAAGAAGAGGGGACACATGTTGATGTAGAAGAGACATGAAGAAGAGGGGACACATGTTGATGTACAAGAGACATGAGGAAGAGAGGACACATGTTGATGTAGAAGAGACATGAAGAAGAGGGGACACATGTTGATGTAGAAGAGACATGGAGAAGAGGGGACACATGTTGATGTAGAAGAGACATGAGGAACAGGGGACACATGTTGATGTAGAAGAGACATGAAGAAGAGGGGACACATGTTGATGTAGAAGAGACATGAAGAAGAGGGGACACATGTTGATGAAGAAGAGACATGAAGAAGAGGGGACACATGTTGATGTAGAAGAGACATGAAGAAGAGGGGACACATGTTGATGAAGAAGAGACATGAAGAAGAGGGGACACATGTTGATGTAGAAGAGGGGACACGTGTTGATGTAGAAGAGACATGAAGAAGAGGGGACACATGTTGATGTAGAAGAGACATGGAGAAGAGGGGACACATGTTGATGTAGAAGAGGGGACACACGTTGATGTAGAAGAGACATGAAGAAGAGGGGACACACGTTGATGTAGAAGAGACATGGAGAAGAGGGGACACATGTTGATGTAGAAGAGACATGGAGAAGAGGGGACACATGTTGATGTAGAAGAGACATGAGGAAGAGGGGACACACGTTGATGGAGAAGAGGGGACACATGTTGATGTAGAAGAGACATGAAGAAGAGGGGACACATGTTGATGTAGAAGAGACATGAGGAAGAGGGGACACATGTTGATGAAGAAGAGACATGAAGAAGAGGGGACACACGTTGATGTAGAAGAGACATGAAGAAGAGGGGACACATGTTGATGTAGAAGAGACATGAAGAAGAGGGGACACATGTTGATGTAGAAGAGACATGAAGAAGAGGGGACACATGTTGATGTAGAAGAGACATGAAGAAGAGGGGACACATGTTGATGTAGGAGAGACATGAAGAAGAGGGGACACATGTTGATGTAGAAGAGACATGAAGAAGAGGGGACACATGTTGATGTAGAAGAGACATGAAGAAGAGGGGACACATGTTGATGTAGAAGAGACATGAAGAAGAGGGGACACATGTTGATGTAGAAGAGACATGAGGAAGAGGGGACACATGTTGATGAAGAAGAGACATGAAGAAGAGGGGACACACGTTGATGTAGAAGAGACATGAAGAAGAGGGGACACATGTTGATGTAGAAGAGACATGAAGAAGAGGGGACACATGTTGATGTAGAAGAGGGGACACATGTTGATGTAGAAGAGACATGAAGAAGAGGGGACACATGTTGATGTAGAAGAGACATGAAGAAGAGGGGACACATGTTGATGTAGAAGAGGGGACACATGTTGATGTAGAAGAGACATGAAGAAGAGGGGACACATGTTGATGTAGAAGAGACATGAAGAAGAGGGGACACATGTTGATGTACAAGAGACATGAAGAAGAGGGGACACATGTTGATGTAGAAGAGGGGACACATGTTGATGTAGAAGAGGGGACACATGTTGATGTAGAAGAGACATGAAGAAGAGGGGACACATGTTGATGTAGGAGAGACATGAAGAAGAGGGGACACATGTTGATGTAGAAGAGACATGAAGAAGAGGGGACACATGTTGATGTAGAAGAGACATGAAGAAGAGGGGACACATGTTGATGTAGAAGAGACATGAAGAAGAGGGGACACGTGTTGATGTAGAAGAGACATGAAGAAGAGGGGACACGTGTTGATGTAGAAGAGACATGAGGAAGAGGGGACACATGTTGATGTAGAAGAGACATGAGGAAGAGGGGACACGTGTTGATGTAGAAGAGACATGAAGAAGAGGGGACACATGTTGATGTAGAAGAGACATGAAGAAGTGGATTTTGTTTAATAGGTGACCTTTCAAATCAAGCTGCATCCTGTCTGTGTGTCAGATCGTCTCTGCTGAACCACATGGCCAGAGAACACTCGTTCAGCATCGGTCTGCCCGACAACATCGTTTACTGCAACCAGTTCCTGGACGCGCTGCAGGGGAAGCTGGACAAGTGAGAGACCTTCAATCCATTCATGAAAACCAACCCAGTCTCACAGCATTTTGTGTAATAGTCACGACATGTAATCTATTGATTCGTGTTCACCAACACCATTTCCCCCTTTTTTTCGTGTCACACAGAACGATTTTAAAAAGCAATGTATTTCTATTGGTAGTGTGTGTCGTGCCTGCACCACGTCTTTTTGTCCGGTCGGGTCTTGGAAGACCGGAAGCTGTGTGGTTCATAAAAACATGTTCTTACTCAATCAAGCCACGATTATTGTTTTTATTTTAAATCGTATAATGTCGGAGTTTCTTTGCCGTCTGTGAGGAAAAGAAATGTCTCAGAGCCTCAGAATACTGAAATCTGTGTTTTTTTAAATCTGTTTTTCCTTCTAGTTTGTTATTCTTTGGTGCAGGCACGAAACATCTACCAATAGAAATACAATTGTTCTATGTGACACGAAAAAAATGTGAAAATGGTGTTAGTGAACACGAATCAATAGATTAAATGTCGTGACTGTAACACGAAATGCCGTGAGACTGGGTTGTATAAACTATAGATCAGGGGGGGCCAAACTTCGGCCCGGGGGCCAAATGCGGCCCGTTGCCTACTTTTAATTGTCCCGCAGCAAATGCTAAAAGTATAATGTAATACGGCCCACACCAGAAACTTGTGCTTGTCTTATATTGTACTTCTTAATTATAAGTATATACAAATATACTACACAGTTGTATTTATGTGTTAATATTTCAATCAATTAAAGGAGAAAACATTTTCAAACAAATCTTAGTTGATACAAAAAAAAAGCCCAATAACTTATTTCCATAACAAGCTTGAAATAAACCTTCATATTTCCTGTCATTATAATCACTCTGAAGTTTCTGTTTGAACACAGTGTTATTATAACGACACAGTTATGATCCCTGCACTCCTATTTAGTTCATTTCTATATTTTAACACAAGACAACTGATTATCTGTGTGTGTGTGTGTGTGTGTGTGTGTGTGTGTGTGTGTGTGTGTGTGTGTGTGTGTGTGTGTGTGTGTGTGTGTGTGTGTGTGTGTGTGTGTGTGTGTGTGTGTGTGTGTGTGTGTGTGTGTGTGTGTGTGATGTGTTGGTGTGTGTGTGTGTGTGTGTGTGTGTGTGTGTGTGTGTGTGTGTGTGTGTGTGTGTGTGTGTGTGTGTGTGTGTGTGTGTGTGTGTGTGTGTGTTGTGTGTGTGTGTTGTGTGTGTGTGTGTGTGTGTGTGTGTGTGTGTGTGTGTGTTGTGTGTGTGTGTGTGTGTGTGTGTGTGTGCTCCGTCTGCAGTGTTTGTATTGTGAGAAAACCTTCAGAGATAAAACCACGCTGAAGGATCACATGAGGAAGAAAGCTCACCGCCGCATCAACGCCAACAACAGCGAGTACGACCGATACTACATCATCAACTACCTGGTAACTACACCCCTCATTGAAATACATGACATAGTTAATGGATGAGGCTAATGTTGGGCTATAAAGGAACTACAGCACGGTCACATGACTTCACGTCACCACCGCTAAGCTAAAGGAGGCTAATGTTGGGCTATATAGGAACTACAACACGGTCACATGACTTCACGTCACCACCGCTAAGCTAAAGGCGGCTAATGTTGGGCTATAAAGGAACTACAGCACGGTCACATGACTTCACGTCACCACCGCTAAGCTAAAGGAGGCTAATGTTGGGCTATAAAGGAACTACAGCACGGTCACATGACTTCACGTCACCACCGCTAAGCTAAAGGTGGCTAATGTTGGGCTATAAAGGAACTACAGCATGGTCACATGACTTCACGTCACCACTGCTAAGCTAAAGGAGGCTAATGTTGGGCTATAAAGGAACTACAGCACGGTCACATGACTTCACGTCACCACTGCTAAGCTAAAGGAGGCTAATGTTGGGCTATAAAGGAACTACAGCACGGTCACATGACTTCACGTCACCACCGCTAAGCTAAAGGAGGCTAATGTTGGGCTATAAAGGAACTACAGCACGGTCACATGACTTCACGTCACCACCGCTAAGCTAAAGGAGGCTAATGTTGGGCTATAAAGGAACTACAGCACGGTCACATGACTTCACGTCACCACCGCTAAGCTAAAGGTGGCTAATGTTGGGCTATAAAGGAACTACAGCATGGTCACATGACTTCACGTCACCACCGCTAAGCTAAAGGAGGCTAATGTTGGGCTATAAAGGAACTACAGCACGGTCACATGACTTCACGTCACCACCGCTAAGCTAAAGGAGGCTAATGTTGGGCTATAAAGGAACTACAGCACGGTCACATGACTTCACGTCACCACCGCTAAGCTAAAGGAGGCTAATGTTGGGCTATAAAGGAACTACAGCACGGTCACATGACTTCACGTCACCACCGCTAAGCTAAAGGTGGCTAATGTTGGGCTATAAAGGAACTACAGCATGGTCACATGACTTCACGTCACCACTGCTAAGCTAAAGGTGGCTAATGTTGGGCTATAAAGGAACTACAGCACGGTCACGTGACTTCACGTCACCACCGCTAAGCTAAAGGTGGCTAATGTTGGGCTATAAAGGAACTACAGCACGGTCACTTGACTTCACGTCACCACCGCTAAGCTAAAGGTGGCTAATGTTGGGCTATATAGGAACTACAGCACGGTCACATGACTTCACGTCACCACCGCTAAGCTAAAGGTGGCTAATGTTGGGCTATAAAGGAACTACAGCACGGTCACATGACTTCACGTCACCACCGCTAAGCTAAAGGAGGCTAATGTTGGGCTATAAAGGAACTACAGCACGGTCACATGACTTCACGTCACCACCGCTAAGCTAAAGGAGGCTAATGTTGGGCTATAAAGGAACTACAGCACGGTCACATGACTTCAAGTCACCACTGCTAAGCTAAAGGTGGCTAATGTTGGGCTATAAAGGAACTACAGCACGGTCACATGACTTCACGTCACCACTGCTAAGCTAAAGGCGGCTAATGTTGTTTCAGCACTAGATACATTTTTAGTGGAGGTTTTTCTCCTCTTTCTATAAAATCTTTAAATACATTTCGTCTCTCAGGAGCTGGGGAAAACGTGGGAGGAGGTTCAGAGCGAAGACGACCGTGAGATGGTGGACGATGGAGACGAGTGAGTGGATCCATCGTTAGATTAGATCAGATCTCATTGCAAACATTAAAAAAGTGATGAAAATGAAAGAAAACCTAAAACATGGATGAAGTTAATTTTGTGATTTCCTGTGTCTCTCTGTGCTGCGCAGTGATTGGTCGGACTGGCAGTCTCATCCCGTCTCAGCTGTTTGTCTCTTCTGCGAACATCAGTCAGAAACTATGGAGCAGATCTCCACACACATGAAGGTAACACACACACACACACACACACACACACACGCACACACACACACACACACACACACACACACACACACACACACACACACACACACACACATCTCTTATCTTGTTTAATTATTGCTCCTCTTCATTTCTCTACAGGAGGCTCATGGCTTTGATCTCCACGAGCTGAGGACGGAGCTCAGTGAGTAAAACCACATAAACAAATAAATATTGAAATCAAAGTGCACCTCCTTAAAATGAATATTGTTTTTGTGTGTGTGTGTGTGGTGTGTGTGTGTGTGTGTGTGTGTGTGTGTGTGTGTGTGTGTGTGTGTGTGTGTGTGTGTGTGCAGGTCTGCGTTTCTACGACCAGGTGAAGCTGGTGAATTTCCTCCGCCGTCAGCTCCATCAGAGCCGCTGCTACGGCTGCCAGGAAACGTTCAGCTGCAGACAGGAAGTCCTCCGACACCTGAAGGAGGCGGGACATGTGATGCAGCTTCCTCACAAGTCCACCTGGAACCAGCCTCAGTGAGTAGTGTCTCTACTTTAAAGAGTCCTCTCCTGCTGATGTTCAGGTGTATATCAGTATGTAGTGTCTCTACTTTAAAGAGTCCTCTCCTGCTGATGTTCAGGTGTATATCAGTATGTAGTGACTCTACTTTAAAGAGTCCTCTCCTGCTGATGTTCAGGTGTATATCAGTTTGTAGTGTCTCTACTTTAAAGAGTCCTCTCCTGCTGATGTTCAGGTGTATATCAGTATGTAGTGTCTCTACTTTAAAGAGTCCTCTCCTGCTGATGTTCAGGTGTATATCAGTATGTAGTGTCTCTACTTTAAAGAGTCCTCTCCTGCTGATGTTCAGGTGTATATCAGTATGTAGTGTCTCTACTTTAAAGAGTCCTCTCCTGCTGATGTTCAGGTGTATATCAGTATGTAGCGTCTCCACTTTAAAGAGTCCTCTCTCCTCAGGTATTACTTCCCCACGTATGAGAACGACGCCCTCCTCTGCACGCTGTCTGACGGCGATGAAGACGAGCGTAACGTCAGCGAAGATGTCCCGGTGATCTCAGAGGACGTTTCCAACCTTCGAGCTTTGAAACAGAACTCCGTCCTCAAATCGATGCTGAAGAGCCGAGGGTCCTGCAGGTAGAAGACTTCCTGTTCCTGGACGACTCTTCCTCCTCCTCATCCTCTGTAAAGAAACTCTAATAATCAAAGCCATGCTGCTTCCCTGAACACTTCAAAACTCTATTTTCAGAAGTGAAGTTCAACCTTTTTCCAGCAGGGGGCGTCACACTCAAATCCCACAAGAGCTTGCAAAGAATATACAATAGTTGAATATTTGCTTTGAATGATTTGCCCCAGCCTTCTGCTTTCAGACGGAGTTAATTATGTGATCTGATGTGGCCCACCATGAAATTGAGTTGAACCCCCTGCTCTACAGGATACACACGTCTGTCCACGCCACAGAGGAACATTCAGACTCTGCTTCTTTTGATTATAAAGTTTATAACTTCATGTGAAAATGCTTTGAGATCAGAATGCAATAAAGTAGGTCGCTCTCTCTCAGAAGTGCAAACTCATCTGGAGTCGATTTAGACCCTGGAAATGAGTCAGGGTCGAAACTTAACGTACCTGTTTACATCAAAACAAGGGAAATGATTGATAACATATCAGATGTTGATCAGTAATAACACGGTTATGAATAGAAAGGATCCGTCTCGTGTAAAACTCTCCCAAGAGTTTGTAAGTCACGTTTGGCAGCCTTTCAGTTACGATCGTTAACATCAGTGGGCCACAGCAAATGATGGTGACTCGCTAAACTATCTATTCATTATGTCAATTACAGGGAGTGTGATTGTTCAAATAGGATGTTAGCGATCTTGCTGTTGAAAGGAGAATGACAACACTGCAGATCACCAACACTATGGTTTATTTTGTATTCACAGGCAACGTTGTCGCAGTAAAAGTAAAAAAATAGCCGATGACAAAGTCCTCCTGGTGCAGTAAACGGTTCCCTGTTTTACTATTATATCTGATATGTCTCTCTTCATATTGCTGCTGCATTAATGTGTATGCTGCATGTTACTGCTGGAGATGTGTTGACCTCCTTTATATCCCGTTGGGTAGTTCAATCTGCAGCAATGCATCATATTCTATAAGATCATCATGTGTAGCTTTGTCTCTGTCCTGTGAGAACCACGTATCTCTCAAAAGTAAACCTTTCAAGAGTTCCTCAGAAAAACAGCTGTTGTGACGATGCATTTTCCAGCTGATCCAAGAGGCTTTTTAAACACTTCACTTGGCTTAAGAAGGAGAGGCATTTTCTCAACACATAAAGGAACACTTCATCCTTCTTCCCGAGCGCTTCCCGAGCCGCTCCGATTCCAACGAGAATTACAACCAGAACGTGACGTCATATTTACACAAGACGGATCCTTTCTAGCCATAACCTAATAACACGCTGGAAGAATGCATGAACAATCCTACATTGACACGTGTGTATGTATTAAAGTATGATGAGCAAAATGTCCTTAAAGTATTTAATGTGAAAGTACCAAATGCAGAAAAATCAACAAGAAAAACACCCGCAGACTCAAAACAATCCCTAGTTTGGGGTGTCACCTACACATCAGTTAAGTTTAGGGTTTTTTCCATGCAAAAGGTTACATTTAGATGTTAACAAGCAATATGACTTGTCAGCTTTCTAATTTAATGTATTGAAGGCAAAGATATTTAACGCATAGTGAGAACTGCTATTTATCTCTCAATATTGTCTGTAAAAAACGTGGTAAAAGTGATTCTTTCAGTGAGACAACAGAGCAAGCTTCTACAGTTGCACTACGTTTTGATAACAGTTAAATATTATTTTGATAATAAAATACATTTCAATGTTGATGAATGTCATACTGTTCATTCATAATCTGATTGTCTTTGTAGCTCACTGTTGAAATAAAATAAAACATTACAATTACAAAATAATTATATCTACAGCCCCTAAACACAAACACACCTCTTTCATAAATAACACACTTGTTCTGCAATAATATGTTTTATGTTTCCTGTAATTTTTGTTAGGAAAGGACATGCCTGAAAGACGCGACTCAACATCTCCTCTTTCTCCGAGGGTCAAGAAGAACATCCAAGAGGAAAATTAAAAGCTGATGTTATGAGATGTTAAGACCAGAGGCCTGTACTACGAAGCTGGTTCAACCTAACCTGGATATGTTGGAGTTAGCCGGTTGGCCCAATCCAAAACATACACGCTCTCACTAAGCTGTACTACGACGCTGGTTATCAAGTGGATCGCTCAAGCCGCCGTGTCCTATCTAGTTAGGTGCGCGTTCACATGAAAGGGGTGGTATTTGGAGCATTCGACCAATCTCAAACACGGACAAGCGTACTGACAGCGCAGCGTCATACTTCCTGAATGAAAAGTGAACTTTAATATTAGTCAAATATGAAGAAGTTAAACTTTAAACATCCATGACTTAAACACTTTACCCAGGATCAAAGCCACATAGCTGCACCTGCTAGGTGAATACAGCTGGTAAAAGAAAAAGTGTTTGAATGCGTACATTAACAGGTTTATGAAATCACTGCCCCGTCCAAGACACGATCTGACTTTAATTACATTTGACTCGAGTGTTTCGTCAACTTAATGTGTTGCTTAAAATAATACTTCTGCATACAGTATGTGACACTGTGAGTGTTGCACGGCCATATACGGCTCAGCTGACTCAGATAAGGAAATATATGATACATTATGATGTGATATGATATGAATGATAATGAGACACATCGACGTCTGCACTCACAGTGCCGCGGACTGTACTTAATGTTACTCTGATCCGGTTACTTATGTCGTGGCAGATATTTAAGTAAGCTTTCTTAACGCTAATGTTATAATAGTCAGATTGCTCTGAAGATGGGAGGGGATATTCTATTAATTTTCACGTTCACACAGTCAGGTGATTTTTGCCGGCTGTCTTTCCTGCAACGGCAGTTTTTCTGTATTTCCTCTATCCTGTAATATGACTTGATCTTTAAACTCCGCACACGGAGCTCTGATTGGTCAGCAGGCGGTGCTTTCACTGAGTTGATCAGCCTGCAACCTAACCTGCTCCGGAGCAGGTTTGCCGCTCAGCATAAGTTACCATGGAAATCTAGCCCGCTAAGAAGAGAACCAGCGTCGTAGGACCGGAAAGCCCGAGATTTCCCTGAAGTTAGCCGGCTAAGAGAAAATCCAGCTTCGTAGTACAGGCCTCTGTACAGGACATTCACTGAGAAACTACTTTTATTGTGAAAACACAGTCAGCTGATCGGATGCACCTATTTCCACATCTACACTCCATCAGCTGATTATTTCTATTTGCCTCACTTCATGAGCTTCACAACATGTACCTTGTACCGCAGAGTTTGCAACGTCACAAATAAATGGGGCCAATCTTCAGTCAGATGTGAATGTGTAATCTAACATTTTCAGTAAGAATAATGGACAAAAGGAGTGCAAATACAAATTCAATTTATTGAAATGTGAACCAAAAGTTAATCAAACATGTTTTAAATAAAAAGCACATATGGACAGAGGGTGTAAACCTATTAAATGTATAAGTAAACACATTTAGTCAAATAAAGTGACAGACTAGGCCTGTGCAGGCCTCTCTATTTTTCGTCAGGACCGGACTGCTAACTCGGGAGGCGGTGTGTGTGTAATGACTAACAACAACTGGTGCTCAGATGTGAAGATTATTTCATCGGACTGTTCCGCACATCTAGAGCACCTCATGATCTCATGCCGGGCCTTTCATCTGCCGAGGGAATTCACATCTGTTGTGATAACAGCAGTGTATATCCCCCCGCAGCCGCTCGCCGACAACAACACGGCACTCGATCAGCTGTTTGGGATTATTGATAAGACCGAGACTTCACGGCCAGATGCGGCGTTCGTTGTGGCCGGAGATTTCAACACCGCCAACATGAAGAAGGTTTTGCCAAAATATTACCAACACATCAACTTCCCGACGCGCGGGGGAAACATACTGGACCATGTTTATTCCCCTTTCCGGAATGGATATAAGGTTCTCCCTCGCCCTCCCTTCGGCAAATCAGACCATATCTCACTACTGTTGTTGCCTGCTTACAAGCAGAAACTTAAAAGGGACAGACCGATAACAAGGACAGTACAACGATGGAGCGAGGAGTCAGATGCAGCACTGCAGGATTGCTTTGCATCTACGGATTGGAGTGTGTTTGAGGACAATAACATCAACACACACACGGACACTGTCATCTGCTACATTGGGAAATGCATCGATGACGTGGTACCGAAGGTTTCTGTACGGACATTCCCAAATCAAAAGCCCTGGATAAACTGCGATGTGCGCTGCAAGCTGAAAGCGCGCACTATCGCGCACAGAGCTGGAGATTTGGAGGAGTACAGGAAGTCTAGGTCTGATCTCCAGAGAGCAATCAGCAGCAAAGAGACAGTACAAAGAGAAGGTGGAATCTGACTTCAAAGGCTGTAACACCCGGAACATGTGGGCGGGACTAAGGACAATGACTGACTGCAAAGGAGCAGCGGGGGGTGCTGCGGGAGTGTCTGCGTGCGCATCTCTCCCAGATGAGCTGAACAGTTTTTTTGCACGCTTTGAGAGCAGCCGGGCTGTGGAGGTACAGAGGGACCAGGAGCTACACTGCCCTTTTGTTTTAAACAGGGCAGATGTGTGTAAATCCTTTAAAAGGGTTAACCCACACAAGGCTCCTGGACCTGATGGCATCCCTGGCCGTGTTCTCAGGGTGTGTGCAGTTCAGCTGGCAGAGGTGTTCACAGACATCTTCAACAGGTCCCTGCTGCAGTCTGTAGTCCCCACATGCTTCAAACATTCCACTATCGTTCCTGTCCCAAAAAAGACAATCATCACCTGCCCCAACGACTACCGCCCAGTAGCACTCACCTCCATCATAATGAAGTGCTTTGAGCGGTTAGTCAAATCATTCATCACCTCCTCCCTCCCAGAATCTCTGGACTCCCTGCAGTTTGCCTACAGAGCAAACAGGTCCACAGACGACGCCATAGCCCTCACCCTCCACACTGCCCTCTCACACCTGGACCCGAAGAACAGGAACACATATGTGAGAATGCTGTTCATTGACTACAGTTCAGCATTCAATACCATTGTGCCCTCCAAGCTGGCCATCAAGCTCAGAGACCTCGGGCTCAACAGCGCCCTCTGTGACTGGATCCTGAACTTCTTGACGGGCAGACCCCAGGCAGTGCGGGTGGGAAACATCACATCCTCCACCCTGATTCTGAACACCGGAGCCCCTCAAGGCTGCGTGCTCAGCCCTCTCCTCTACTCCCTGTTCACTCACGACTGCGTGGCCACACACAGCTCCAACACCATTGTGAAGTTTGCTGATGACACGACCGTCATCGGCCAGATCACAGACGATGACGAGACGGCGTACAGAGAGGAGGTCGAAAACCTGACATCTTGGTGCCAGGATAACAACCTCCATCTCAACATCAGCAAAACAAAGGAGCTGATTGTGGACTACAGGAAGCAGCAGGGAGAGGGACACGCCCCCATCGCCATCAATGGGACTACGGTGGAGAGAGTCAAAAGCTTCAGGTTCCTTGGGGTCCACATCACTGAGGACCTGACATGGTCTCTTCACACCACCACCATCACCAAGAAAGCTCGACAGCGGCTCTTCTTCCTCCGCAGGTTGAGGAGGTTCAAAATTGATTCCAGGATACTCTGCAACTTCTACAGGTGCACGATAGAGAGTATCCTCACTGGCAGCATGACGGCCTGGTACGGCAGCTGCACCGACCTCGATCGTAAGGCTTTACAGAGGGTGGTGAAAACTGCACAGCACATCACCAGGACGGAGCTGCCATCCATGGAGGACCTTTACTCCCAGCAGCTCAGGAAGAAAACACTACGGATTATCAAAGACCCCCATCACCCCAGCCACAAACTGTTCTTTCTGTTGCCGTCTGGCAGACGTTACCGCAGCATCCTGGCAAGGACAAGAAGATTCGGAGACAGTTTCTTCCCACGGGCAGTGAGACTGTTAAAAAATTGAACTGTTGAAACAACTTCAAACATTCATCTGCTACTCAGTATTATGTATCTAATACCTAATATATATATATATCATTCCAATAACTTGTATATAGACTCGTACTGCACTATTCCACATCATCACTTTATTTTATTTTATAACTATTATTCTTTTTGTATTGCTCTTGCTCTTATTGTTATTATGTTATTATGTTGCATTGTTGGAGAAGCCTGTGACATAAGATTTTCAACTACATAATTACTCTGTAGCTATGTCAGATTGACAATAAAGAACCTTGAACCTTGAACCTTGCAGTTGGTATCAGCTATGCCCAGCATGGGCTCCTCCATCAGGCCTGGTCCTCCTCGCTGAGGAAAGACCCTCAGTCCTCTCCGGCCAAACCAACAGGCAGGACGTCCATCACACGGAGGTTTCTCCCTGAAGTCTCTGCAGCTCTCT